CAAATCCCTAGGAACACTGATCTCACCAAAATTAATTAAATATTGCTGGACTGAAGAATTCTGAATAACTACACACCATCTGCCCCATTTTGAATACATCTTGGAAAATAGTATTTATTCCCTCTTGGCAATTAGGTGACTTGCTTCAGAATTTCCATTTCATGAGGCAAATTTTCTTTGGCATTCAGTTAAGCCAGCTTATTAGACACAGTAGACTTTTTTTTTTTTTTTCTTTTGGAATTACACTCAGAAGGGGACACACCTTGGGAGTTCTCAGCAGCACCCGCTCTGTGCCAGTGTCTATGCACATAGCACTGGGCCAGCATTCCTGTGCATGTGCTTGCAGACCTCTGAGAGACAAAGAGCTCACTCACTCATAAGGCCTTACATGAAATGCTGAATTCACAAGTTCCATGGCTTTGGCCTGTGAAGGAAGCTGGCCTTTAATGTTATTCCAGCTTTAAACACATCCAAACATATGTCTCTCTCTGTAAGTCTCAAAGTATATCTGCTACTATATACTACCGTTTTTACTATGACTAGAAATGCTATTTAAAAGGCAATGTAATATAAAAGCAATATTTTAATACTACAGTGGCAGAGTCAGAAATATTCTTTTCAAATTCAGAGTACTACTCTTCCCCCATTCAAATTATAGAACCATGGATAATGTGGTATCCCTCGAAAGAATTTAAGTCAGTTCAGACATCAATCATACTTCTTGTGAAATGCGTCTTAAACTACATATATCTACCCAAAAAGTCCCCATCTTTTAGCAGAATGTATCCAGAACTTCAAACCTGACTGATTATATTTCAAAGTATGAATTTTTAATCTTCAAAATATTTTATTATACCATGAGCATTTTCACATATTAAACTTAATAATGCTTAATCTAAAATCCATAAGATATAATAATATACACTTCACTATCTTTGTCAAATAACTTGCAGGTTTTGACTGTTTTAACATTTGAAATGAAGTTACCCTTCTACATAAACCCTGTGTGAACTAGAGCGTCTGCTAGTCCATATGATGCCTTCCTGGGCAGACACTGATAGATTCTAATCTAGACACAGGGCTTGAAGGTGGAGCCCAGTGTAGACTTCATTCTCCACACCCCTCCCTCCCCACCCACTGTTTGATGAGGCACTGTTACCCAGCACAATTATATGCATAAGGTCTAGTCTGAAGCTTACATTATTGCCTTGGAATAAAGTTATAGATGTTATAGAAGGAGGATCAAAATAACGTGAATATTTTACAGACTTCAAAATATATCACCAAACTGCAGAACAGTTTCCCACCAAGGTAAAAGTAAGTGTAAACATAATGAGATTCTCATCTTTATTTCCCAACACACCGCACAGTGAGAAGCAGATTTAAATATATGTCAAATGAATAAAGGAAGTTAATAATATGCAATGGAAGAAAACTCAAATAAATTATCTTTTACATCAATTATGTAGATATTTCTTACACAGGAACTTAGGCCTTAATTATATAACTTGTATTTTTAGGCACAAGTAATCAGCAGACTAACTGTTAGATCATATGAACTATACACAACAGCATCATACTTTTTTTAAAAACCATATGCAGGTTTACATTGTATCTTAGCATTATTATTTGTTCTGATAATAATTCTGTGAGATGCACAGAGACACTACAGTAAAATTTGACAATGATGAAAATTATCCTCAAGTCAGAGAAAATCTGGGTCCTTATGAAAACCTTTTAGTCTCTAGAGCCTGTGCACAGCTCTGTTGTTAACCACCAACAATGTAAGTGTTTAATTCTACAGAAACTGAAAATAGTACTTTAACTCTCTGCTCAATGCAAGGTGCTAAGACACTTAATATCCATCTCAATCTTTAATGTATGTGACCTTCCCTTGTCAAAACACAGAACATAAAGCAGCACAAGTAAACAATAAAGGAATGAAGGCAGAGTTAATGCTGAGAAGTCTCACCTCTGTCATCTATGAATAACACAGTCAACCTCTTTTGAGTTTCCTCCTCCACAGAAACAAGGACTA